CCCAGCTGGTAACCAGGAAATGTGAGAATCATTTAGTGTGAGGGAACACACACACACACACACACACACACACACACACACACACTCACGGAAGTCAGAGGTATCAGAAGTAGTTTTGAGTGTTAATAAAGCAATATTAACAAAAGCATGGATGGGGTTTAGGAAAATCACAAAGAGTAGTGTGGTACCCTATGTCTATTAAGAGAAGGCTATACTACTGGGGCACCTGGGTGGCTCAGTAGTTGAACCTCTGCCTTTGGCTGAGGGTGTGATCCTGGAGTCCCGGGCTTGAGTCCCACATTGTGCTCCCTGCATGGAGCCTGCTTTTCCCTTTGCCTGTGTCTCTGCCTCTTTCTTTCTCTGTGTCTCTCATGAATAAATAAATAAAATATGTTTAAAAAGTTGGGCCCTCGGGATCCCTGGGTGGCGCAGTGGTTTGGCGCCTGCCTTTGGCCCAGGGCGCGATCCTGGAGACCCGGGATCGAATCCCACATCGGGCTCCCGGTGCATGGAGCCTGCTTCTCCCTCTTCCTTTGTCTCTGCCTCTCTCTCTTTCTCTCTCTGTGATTATCACAAATAAATAAAAATTAAAAAAAATATATAAAAAAAAAATAAAAAATAAAAAAATAAAAAGTTGGGCCCTCAACCGACTGAGCCACCCAAGCGCCCCAATGATGTCTTTTGATGAGCAGTTCTTAATTTTATTTTTTTAGCAGTTCTTAATTTTAATGCATTCTAGTTATCAAATCTTTCTTTCCTTTGCCTCCTTTTTAAGAAATATCTGCCTATTCCAAGAAATAGTCATACTTTCTCTATTTTTTTTTGTTTTATCGCTCACATTTATTTCTGCAATCATTCTAGAATGATTTTGATTTTTAGACAGCGTGAGAATGGATGAAACTTTACTGAAAAGATAGTCCCTTGCTCCACTGCAGTCGTTGCCATAATACACTAGGTGGCGCTGTTATCTTGCATTGTTCGGGTTTTTACTCTTGCATCAATCCCAAAGGAGGGGTTAACCCTACTTAAAGTTCAAAAAAACAGGCAAAGCTCTTCCATGATGTGTAGGAGAGGGTGAAAAAAATCTTCTCTTCTACCCTTCTTAGGCTCTTGGTTGGGGCTCTGTACCAAAAGGCGGATTAACAAGAGAAAACACGCAAATGCATTTAAGTTTTACTTGACACTAGACACTTCATAAGGAAATGAAAACACAAAGTTGTTAACCTAAACATTTTAATGCTAGGTGTGAGGAAGAGTAGAAAGTAGTGGGGAAATGTGATAGGACAAAAGGATATGTGTTTAAGGGTAGTAAACAGGGAAATTTAGCAATCCCATTCATTTGGATTCCTCTCTGCATCCCTCCATCTGAGTATAGAAAGGACATCTATCCCATGAGCATCTTATGACCTACTTCAGGGGAAGGTCAGAGAGTCCTTTCTAAAACTGCCATTTCTCAAATACCTTCAACTTAACATATTCGATATGCTAAGGTGTCATATTTTAGGGCAATTGTATACTGAACCCTGTCAGATTTGTTAAAAGATTTCATATTAGGGTGTTTCTTGGAAGATGGGGGGGTTGTAGTGACCAACAGAACCATGGAAGAGGCTTCTGGGTTTCTGGTGATTTTCTTTTTAAAAAACCTGGGTAGTGGGATACCTGAGTGTCTCAGTGGTTGAGTGTCTGCCTTCAGTTCAGGGCCTGATCCTGGAGTCCCGGGATCCCTCTTTCCAACTTTCAGGGTGCTGTTTTCTTTAAACAGGCTCCCTGTGTGGAGCCTGCTTCTCCCTCTGCCTGTGCCTGCGCCTCTCTCTCTCTCTCTCTCTCTCTCCCCCTCTCTGTCTCTCATGAGTAAATAAATAAATCTAAAAAAAAAAAGTAAAAAGTAAATAAAAATAAGATTTAAAAAACCTGAGTAGCAATTGCATTGGACATGTACCCTTTGAGGACATTTTTATGATTTGTATATAAATGTTCACTTTTAAGTTTTATCCACAGACTATCTGAATGTTTCTTATACTTCAACAAATAATTTAAAATAAATAAATAAAATAATAAAATAAATAAAAAGTCCACTTTATCTCTTTCCAACTTCTCTAGGCAGTGTGAATGATTGATTAAAGGCCATTTACACAAGTAGGGGGATGTTTACCAGTATAAATTCATCAACTGTGAAAATTAATAAAAGAATCTCATTATACTGGAGTCTGGAAGGTGGGGAGACAGGAGCGGGGTCCTTTCAACTCTACTACTGGTTGGCAATTGCAACCAAACAGAAAGAGTGGCACCTTGCAAGTTGATACCACTTTACTATCACAGCAAGAGGATGAGAGATTTTCTTCTCTCCTGGCAACAGCTCAGCCAATGAGAGACTGCCACCACTCAGCCAATGAAAAGCCACTATATTTCAAATTACAAGTTTATTCCAAAGGAGTTTTTATGACAGCCTTCCCAATTTCCTGCTATCCTTTATGAAAGAGCATTCCTCTCCTTTGTTCTGTGGACTCCTTAGTTTGCTTGTCCTGGGTTGCAATTCTCTGGTTGTCCTACATATATCCCACCCCCCCATCCCCGTTTTTTTGCTGGCAAAATAACTAGCAGTTTCATTTTTAAGGTTAACATATTTTATCTCTCTATGATAATTATATCTTTGTGTAGAAACACAATGTGCATAAAATTTTTCCAACTTTCAGGGTGCTATTTTCTTTAACAATACTTCCCACTGAGGAGTTTTGTAGAATTTTCCTACTCTTAATTTTGAAGAGATAAGTGAATGGTATTTTTCCACTTCACTCATTCCACCAATTAATCCTTGTGAGATTACTGGGATTCAGCCTTGATTAGACAAACTCTGATCCTGACCCAGGTTTGTTTATGAATTTTAAATATCCAATTTCTGTTTTTATGTCCCTAGATCCTACCTGCATCCTAACTGAATCTTTTTCCTTTTTTCCTCCTCTTTGCTGATTCCAGATCTTTAAGATGTGACCCACCCCTCTCTAGAGTTTCCCCAGTCTTGATCCCAAGCACCCACTGCTCCAGGTCTTTCTATTTTCTGCTCACCTCTCTGCAGTGGGGTGATTCTGTCCCCATCTTGTTCCTGTAAAGAGTAATCAGAATTACTTAATTACTTACTTTAGTCATTTGAGTCTCACAGCAATTTAGGAGGCAGCTCATGTTTATAAAAGGGACATGCTATAGACAATACACTGAAGTTGTCTGGCTTGGAGTTGGAATTAGAATTTGTGCTAATACCCTCCAGTTCCATCCACGTTGAAGCAAATGGTGGGTATTTGTCTGGAGGGTATTATGCTGAGTGAAATAAGTCAATCAGAGAAGGACAAACATTACATGGTCCCATTCATTTGGGGAATATAAAAAATAGTGAAAGGGAATAGAGGAGAAGGGAGAAGAAATGGGTAGGAAATATCAGAAAGGGAGACAGAACATGCGAGACTCCTAACTCTGGGAAACGAACTAGGGGTGGTGGAAGGGGAGGTGGGCGTGGGGTGGGGGGTGACTGGGTGGCGGGCACTGAGGGGGGCACTTGAAGGGATGAGCACTGGGTGTTATTCTATATGTTGGCAAGTTGAACACCAATAAAAAATAAATCTGTTATTTAAAAAAAAAGAATTTGTGCTAAGAGGGTGTGGACTGCCCTTTGCACTCCTCTGTGCTCCCCTACTCAGATATTTGCTCTCACTTGGAAGCTGGGCTTCCTTTTTTTTTTTTTTTTTTTGGAGTTGTATTTATTTATTTTAAATATTTTATTTATTTATTCATAGACACACAGAGAGAGAGAGAGAGAGAGAGAGAGGCAAAGACACAGGCAGAGGGAGAAGCAGGCTCCATGCAGGAAGCCTGTTATGGGACTCAGTCCCAGGTCTCCAGGATCACACCCCAGGCTGCAGGCGGCCAAACCGCTGCGCCACCGGGGCTGCCTTTTTGTTTGTTTGTTTGTTTCGAAGCTGGGCTTCCTAACCTTCTGGCTCAGGTATTGTAAAAGAGGACCACTTTCCCAAGCCCTGTCACGACCTCTCTTTTTTTGGCAAAGTGATCAGGCTCTGGGTGGTTGGTCAAGAAAAAACTGAACATTCCCTGGTAGACAGATGAGACAAACCAAAAGATTGAGGATGTTGTCGAGGTTTACAACGGACAGATGGAAAGATGGGGTTGCAGTTACTTGAGGTTGAGAGGGTGAAATCAGGACTTTGTGACATTTTATTTATCTAAGATTTTATTTATTCATGAGAGACACACAGAGAGATAGAGGCACAGGCAGAGGGAGAAGCAGGCTCCCCATGGGGAGCCCAATGTGGGACTCCATCCCAGGGCCCTGGGATCACAACCTGAGTCAAGGCAGATGCTCAACCACTGAGCCACCCAGGTGCCCGGATTTGTGACATTTTATTTTTCTTAAAACGTGTTTCGTTTTTGTTTGTTTGTTTTTGTTTTTTTAAGGATTTTATTTATTTGTTAATGAGAGACACACAGAGAGAGAGAGAGGCAGAGACACAGGCTCCATGCAGGGAGCCGACGCGGGACTGGATCCCGGGTCTCCAGGATCACGCCCTGGGCTGAAGGCAGCGCTAAACCGCTGAGCCACTCAGGCTGTCCGATTTGTGGCATTTTAAAGTGTCTAAAGACAGCCAAGTGGAGAGAGCAAGTCTCATACCATCTAGAGTCCAGGGTAGAGATGTGGGACTGCGGGTGTAAATTTGAACCTTGAGTGCATAGACAGTACTTAAAACGGTGAGATTCGCTGATACCACAGAGAGAGTGATTACAAGACGAAAAGAAATCGGAGAACTGAGTCCTGGGATACCGGATCAACTGAAAGTGGGGAAACGTGGATCGTCAGGCTCCACCTGGGAACGGCGGCCGGGACGGTCTAAACTCGAGAACTACATTTCCCAGAATCCCTTCCGCCCCTTGCTTCCGAGTTAGAGGCCGCCTAAGAAGTCCCGCGAGATTTAGAAGGCGGAAGTGAAGCGGAAGCCATTGCTCTCGGGAGGCGAGTGCGGCTCTACACATGGGCTGGGCAGGGGTCCGCCACGGCTTCCTCAGGGCTGTTGGGGACCCTCCGCTTCCCCGCCACAGACCGGACCTGCTGTATGAACTCGGCGTCCCCTCGGCGGCAGCTTCCGTGACCTCCACTGCACCTGATTCTACCCTCAGCCTTGTAAGCTCCGCTTTCCTCACTTAACCCTTTACCCTCGGTCTTCCCCAGGACACGAAAGGCCCATCGACCGGGAGGAGTGAACGGGGCCGGGACCTGGGACCTGGGACCTGGGACCTGGGACCGGAAAGCCGGGGAGCCAGGGGAGGGTGGTGGTATGAGACGCGGGTACGCGAGGACTGAAATTTAGGACCGATGTGTTCAGGACGAGGTAAAGGCACTGGTGAGCTGATTTATTTAAAAAAAAAAAAAAAAAAAAAAAAGGACTCCTTGGGGTGGGAGGGAAAAGCCCGGCCGTAGTGCATTAAGGACTTTTTGGTGGAGTCTGGAACGGGAAACCGGGAGGAATGATACCTTCCTTTGGCTCTGCGGTGCATTTTCTCCACCACGAGTAGAGGCACCCTGGGCTTTCCGTTGACATTTATTTGCACTGAGTGTTAACATTTTACATGCAAACTAATGGCTGCGCCGATCTGTTGGTTGAGTCGACTCGTGTAAACAGCCTACAACCAAATCTAAAAGTTCACTTCAAAACAAAACAAAAAAAAGTTCACTTCAACATTCTGTTCATTTAACCTTGAGAGTTAGCCCATTAATATTTAGTGTGATCGCTAATATTTTGCATTTGGTTTTTCACCACCTTATTTCGCTTGCTAATTATCCTTTAACTTTCAAGTACTTTTTTTTTTTTAGTTTTTTTATTCGTTCAAGTATCTTTTAATTGGAATATAAAACATATGCAAAAAAAAGTATAAAAACACGCACATTCTCTGCAAAAAAAAAAAACACACACTCTTAAAAGACAGCAGTAAAGCAAATCTATAAACAGAAAGATTATGAAATCTCTGGAACCTGTGTGCTCTTTCCTGCATCCTCCTCTTAATGATTTCCTTTGGATTTTACTACTTAATGTTTTTCCAAATCTTCATTTCCTAATTTCGGTAATTATTTGTAAATGGACTTAACACGCTTAAATACTTTCAGAGACATCCTTTTTTTTCCTATTAATGCAAGCATATTTTTAAATTTATTTTTAAAGATTTTATTTATTTACTCATGACAGAGAGAGGCAGAGACACAGGCAGAGGGAGAAGCAGGCTCCATGCAGGGAGCCTGAGGCGAGACTCCATCCCAGGACCCCGGGATCACAACCCGATCCAAAGGCAGATGCTCAGTCCTACCCATTCTTTTTCAGACACCGCATAGCTTAAATTTTAGAGTCAGTTTACAAAGCTTCACATACTGGAGTTTTATTTTGAGGTTGTGTTGAATCTGTATATGAATTTGGATAATATTGACCTTATAATTTTGTTGTATTTTAACAACATATCTATTTGCATATATTCTGTAATACCTTTCAGTAAAATTTTAAAGGACTTAGAATGGGTTTGTTGGGTTTTTGTTACTAGAATTTTTTTGTTGGGACGCCTGGGTAGCTCAGTGTTTGAGTGTCTGTCTTTGGCTCAGGGCGTGATCCTGAGTCCAGGATTGAGTTCCACGTAGGGCTCCCTGTGAGGAGCCTGCTTCTCCCTCTGCCTGTGTGTCTACTTCTCTCTGTGTCTCTCATGAGTAAATAAATAAAATCTTTAAAAAAAATTTTATGTATTTATTTCAGTGAGCCGAGAGTGCACAAGTTGGTGAGAAGGGCAGAGAGTGATGGAGAAGTCGACTCCTTATTGAGCAAGGAGCTGCCAGCAGGGTTTCATCCCAAGACTTTGGGATCTTGACCTGAGATGAAGGCAGACGGTTAACCAAATGAGTCACCCAGGTGCCTCAAGGTGGGGGGGCGGGGGGAGTTTTTTGTTAAATTTATTCGTAGGAACCCTTTTTTTTTTTTTAACACTTAGGATTTTCCCCCCTCCCCCAGCAGCTTGGTGTATTGAATTTGGGTTAGTTTTTGTGTAGTGTTTTGAATGTTCTTCAAAGACAAATGTTATCATCTGTATAGAATAAATAGATAAATATTTTTATTTTCTGTTTGCATTGTATTGTTTGCTTGTATATTGCTTGTGTTTTATTTACTCACTTTGCTGGACAGGCTGGGGACTCCTGGTAGCATTGAGTGTAGTTCAGATAACAAACTCTAGGCAGTCCTGTTTTTTCCTGACCTTGAGGGAAATTGACCTTCTGTTTGCTGGAGGCTCTTTTTTTGAGCTATTAAAGAAAGCTCTCTTCTTTTCCTAGTTATTCCTCTTGAATGGTTTTTTTTAACAAGTGATTTTTCTTTCAGCATCTACTCTGATATTTTTTATCTTTTATCTTGTGTATCTCAAGCTCCGTAAAAAATGTCTGGCTTGTGGTAGGTGCCACTGCCATTGTGCATTGAATGAATGAGTGAATAATATACTTTTGTTATTTATCTGGTAATTTGGTAAATTAAACCAGTTGATTTTCTAATGATTACACTTGCTTGGTAAATAACTCACTTGAAAAGGATAGGCAGTATTGTATCATTTTTTTGGTTTCTATCTGCTAGTGTATTGGTTATTTGGATCATTGTTTGAGTAAGATTGGCTTGCAGTTTTCAGTTTCCATTTTATGCCAATCTCATAAAATGCATGGGAATATTTCCTCTGTTTTCTAAACTCTGGAACTACTTTATCCTTAAAAGGTAGCCGCACTGGACAAACCATTTGGGTATAGATTTTTCTTTGTGGAAATTTTTTGAGCTACTGTTTCAGTTCCTTTAAGGGTCATAGTGATCTGAGAAAGATCTTAGAGTTCAAAGCTGACAGGCAAGAAAGAACTGAGATGTTCCAAAAAGGTGGGTTTTTATTTTATTTTTAATTTTTTAAAGATTTTATTTATTTATTTATTCACGACAGACACACAGAGAGAGAGGCAGAGACACAGGCAGAGGTTAGAAGCAGGCTGCATGCAGGGAGCCCGATGTGGGACTCCATCTTGGGTCTCCAGGATCATACCCGGGGCTGAAGGCGGCGCTAAACCGCTGGGCCACCGGGGCTGCCCCAAAAAGGTGGGTTTTTAAAAAAAAATTTTTTTAAGGGGTGCCTGGGTGGCTTAGTCAGTTAGGCATCTGCCTTTGGCTAGGGTCATGATCCTGGAGTCCTAGGATCCAGCCCCCACATCGAGCTCCCTGCTCAGTGGTGAGTCTGTTCTCCCCCTGACCCCCATACTCACTCTCTCAAATAAATAAATAAAATATTAAAAAATTAAAAAAAATTCTTAAAGATTTCATTTGTTTATTTGACATCACAAGCAGGGGGAGCAGAAGATGGAGAAACAGGCCCCCTACTGAGCAGGTGGCCAATGCAGGGCTCAGTCCCAGAACCCTGAGACTGAAGGCAAATGCTTAACCAACTGAGCCACCCAGGCACCCCCCCTCTGTACATTTTTTTAAAAGATTTATTTATTTTTAGAGGGTGCAAGCAAGGGGTGGGAAGACAAGCTGACTCCATGCTGAGTGTGGACCCTCCATGGGGCTCCATCCCAAGACCCTCAGATCATGACCTGAGCTGAAATCTAGATTCGGATGCTTAACGAACTGAGCCACCCTGGCGCCCCGCCCTGTTTTGTTGTTGTTGTTGTTGTTGTTGTTGTTTTGTTTTTTAAGATTTATTTATTTATTCGTGAGAGAGACAGAGACTTAGAGGGAGAGCAGCCGATGTGGGACTCTATCCCAGGATCATGCCCTGACTGGAAGGCAGATGCTCAGTCACTAAGCCATCCATGGACCCCCTCTCCTTGTATTTTGAACTTATTTACCCAGAAAAGGTTGACCTTAGAAGGGAGGGCAGACATCTTCGTCCTTGCTTTTTATAGGAGAGGAGGAGTATATCAGATGTCAGTTTTGGGGAAGAATTTTGGTAGAACTAGAGACCAGAAAGTTGGAAATACTCCTTTTAACTTTTTAAAGTAAACTATAATTTATGTTGAAGACAATTTACAGATCTTAGATCCAGTTTGATGATTTTTTTGACAATTGTGTGCTTTGTATAATTGCTAACTAAAAATAAATAAAAATATGAAGACTTTTAGTTGCTCCAGAAAGTTCCTCTTCTCTTAATCTCTCCTGCTCATACTTTTCCATTGAGACAGCCACTTTTTTTTACTTCTAGTGACCGAAATAAACAAGTTTTGCTAACAACCTAAATAAGTTTGCCCATTTATGGATGTCATATAACTGGAATCGGCATTTTTTGTGTTTAGTTCCTATTGGTCAGCACGGTAAACATTTAACCATGTTGTGTGTCTCAGTACTTTTTATTTCTCAGTAGTATTCTAATGTACACACCACAATTTGTTTATCCATTCTGTTGTTGGATATTTAAATTGTTTACAGCTTGGAGCTGTTAGGAAATCAGATTGCTATGATTTTTTTTTTTTTTAAGATTTTACTTGTTTATTCATGAGAGACACAGAGAGAGGCAGAGACATAGACAGAGGGAGAAGCAGGCTCCATGCAGGGAGCCCGACGTGGGACTCGATCCGGGGACTCCAGGACCACCACACCCTGGCCGAAAGCAGGCACTAAACCACTGAGCCACCCAGGGATCCCCATCTCTCTCTCTCTCTTTTTTTTTTTTAAGTTACTATTTATTTTAGAGAGAAAGCAAGCACACTCTGCTTTAGAGAGGAGCAGGAAAGAGAAAATCCCAAGCAAGCTCAGTCTCAGCATCCTGAAATCAGGATGTGAGCCGAAATCAATAGTCAGACGCTTAACTGACTGAGCCACCCAGGCACCCTCTTGTTTTTTTTTTTTTTTTTTGTTGTTGTTGTTGTTGTTTTTTAATAAGCTCTACACTCACCATAGGGCTTAAACTCACAACCCCAGGATCAAGAGTTGCATGCTCTATCAACTGAACCAGGTAGGCACCCTGTTTTCTTGTCTTTTGGTAAGTCATTCTGACAGGTATGAGGTGATATCTCATTGTGGTTTTGATGTGCATTTCCCTGATGATGAATGATGTTGAGCATCTTCTCAGGTGTCTGTTGGCCATCTGTATTTCTTTGGGAAAATGTCTCTTCAGATCCTCTGTTCATTTTTTTATTGGATTGGGTTTTTTGCTCTTGCATTGTCTGAGTCTTACATATTTTGGACATGAACTCATCAGATATGATTTGCAAGGTTTTTTTTTTTTCCTGTTAGGTAGTTGCCTTTTCCTTTTGTTGGTTTCCTTTCCTGTACAGAAGCTTTTTAGTTTGGTATAGTTCCACTTATTTTTGCTTTTGCTTCCTTTGCTTTTGGTGTCGACTCAGAAAATATTTGCTAAGACCAGAATCAAGCTTATTGCCTAGGTTTCCTTATAAGAGTTTTGTGGCTTCAGGTCTTACATTCACATATTTAATCCATTTTGAGTTTTGTGTGTTGTAAGATAGCATGTGGCCATCCACTTGTGCCAGCATTATTTATTGAAGCAACTGTCCTTTCCTCATTCTTGGATTTTTTTTGTCATAAAGCAATTGACTGTATGTGTGTGACTTTATTTCTAATATGTCATTTCTGTTCCATTGATCTATGTGTGTTTTATGCTAGACTGTTCATAATGATATGTGATAAAATGTTAATTTGGGGGGAGTCCAATTTATTGGTTTTTTAAAAATATATTCTACTTGTGTCTGTAGTCTAAAATACTGTTGTGTAACTCAGTTGTTAAAATATTTTCTGTGGGGATCCCTGGGTGGTACAGTGGTTTAGCACCTGCCTTTGGCCCAGGGCGCAATCCTGGAGACCCGGGATTGAATCCCACGTCGGGCTCCCGGTGCATGGAGCCTGCTTCTCCCTCTGCCTATGTCTCTGCCTCTCTCTCTCTCTCTCTGTGACTATCATAAATAAAATAAAAATTTAAAAAAAAACTTAAAAAAAAATAAAATACAGTATTTTCTGTGGATTTTTTTTCCCTCTGATTCACTTCAAAAGTTTTTAATTCACATTTTTGCTTACATGGTGATAATAAAAAAATGCAGTTTCTTTTTACTTATTGAGTTCTTTCAGTACTATTAACTAAGAAGATTGCTTTCCCTACTGAATTGCCTTGTTCTTTTATTGAAACTAATTTGTACACACGTAGGTTTGTTTCTCATTCTCATCTGTTCCATTGGTCTACTTGTTACATATTCCAATGACTCTTCATTACTCTAGTGAACTTAGTAGCATGAATCCTTCAAGTTTGGTTTTCTTTCTTAACATTGTTCCAGCTCTGCTAGATCTTTTGCATTATGTTATACACTTTATTTTATCTTTTTTTTTTTTTTTCAATGTGGGGCTTAAACTCATGACCCAAGTGGTGTAGAGTGTTTGGCCAGAAGGCACTGAAGATTAGAACACGTGGTTCTAGGTAGACCATCCTTGTGGCTGCTAGAACCATTTTAAACCATGGTGAGCCTTGGGGATGGATCCTTGGGTGGCTCAGTGGTTTAGCGCCTGCCTTTGGCCCAGGGTGTGATCCTGGAGTCCTGGGATCGAGTCCTGCATTGGGCTCCCTGCATGGAACCTGCTTCTCCTTCTGCCTGTGTCTCTGCCTGTCTCTCTCTCTCTCTCTCTCTTTCTCTCTCTCTGTCTCTCTCTCTCATGAATAAATAAATCTTTAAAAAATAATAAGTAAAATAAAATAAACCATGGTGAGCCTTGAAGTTGAAAGGAAGAATAGAAGTCGGGAGCCCAAGTGTTGTTTTTTTTTGGGGGGGGGGTAGCCCAAGTGTTTAACAAGTAAGGGAGTCTGACCAAGTTGTGCTTGGGGACAGATTACTTGGGACACTGGATCTGAATCTTCTTTGAGGCACATCAGGGACCTTCTCCACATTGCCTGGAGAATTTCCTGAGTAAGACAAAGGCCCATGATCGGACATACTTGCTGCTCCAAAGAGGAGGTGCTAGAAAGTAAAAGTTAAATTTGTCCTGTGACCCCAAGAGGCAGAAAACCTTTGACTACTCCTAGTCTTTTTATTTGCTACAGATGCTTGCTGGAAGAGTTCCGTGACAGCAAGAGGGAAGCTTCCTGCTGCCAGTCCCCTGTTGTTTAGGCAGATTGACTGTCATTCTCACAGAATGGCAGCTCTTGGTCTATCTTCCACATGTGGTAAGTTCTTGGGTTGATGAACGGATGCCCTCAAAAGTTCAGTTCAAGTGGCCTCTGGACTTCACTGGGTCAGGGCTGTACATGGCCACAAGGTAGGCTGCCAGAGTTGGAGGAACTGAAAAGGGGTGGGAATAAAGTATAGTCTTGGTAGCCTCCCAGTGACTGTCAGATTTGGGGTCTTTGTGAGTTTGGGTGAAGGTAGGGATTGTGTGTAGTTGGTATATAAGGAAGGACAGGTAATGCATGTTATGTTATTTTATTATTATTAAAGATTCCATTTTCAAGAAATCTCTGCCCAGCGTGGGGCTCGAACTGACATCCCTGAGATGAAGAGTTCATTGCTCCACTGACTGAGCCAGCCAGGCATGCCTATTATTTTTTTATTCACTTAGAATTATTATAAATCTGAGCAAAGTAACAGCTCTACCTTGTAGAGCTTTAATTTTTTTCAAACATTAATTTAGAAACATACCACTTTCTTGGTAGATATGTAAGCCCACCATCCTTTTTATGCCCTTGAGTGGAGCAGGGCTGCTCTGGCTTTTTACAAGACATTGTGCGTGGAAGAGAGGTGGGGATAGGTGCTGCATACTCAAAGCAGGTGTGGGGCAGTTTCCTGATCTGTGAGTGTTGGGCAGGCTTTAATCCTCATGGATCTGCTCTTCCCCAGCTGTGTCCACCCGGGACCCTGCCTATATCCATGAGTCAGAAATTCCTCCTTCGTCAAAAGACCATTCCTCTTCTCAGGACATGGACTTGTTTGTTTGCAATGGCCTGGAACCTTCTATGCCAGCCAGTGTTGGTTCTCAGGTACAGGATCTCTGGGCCCCTGGGGGTGGGAGAGGCACTTACCTAGAATGCTCCCTTGTCAGAGTTCTAGTACCACTTGTTATAGATCTTTTAGAGCCTCACCCAGGGCACAGGACAAAAAGCCAGAGACTGTTTACAAGGCTGTCCTGGTAGCAGGGACCTGGTTAGGGAAATGAACTTATGTAGCAGGTATTTCTCTCATAGTAGAGCTCAAAATGCTCAGGCCAGGTTAGAAGTGGAGAGAGATTTGGTCCTCTGTCAGCAGAGTTGAATTTAAAGAGATGAGATCACCTCATAGTGAAGAGTCTTGTGGACTGGCTTCTGGTTTGAGACACCAGAAGTCCATCTGACAATCCTGTGTTTGGAGTCTCTTGTGCCCAGGCTTCAGCCTCAGCCATCTTTCTGTGAACACGGATAGGCTGGTTTCTTACTGACCCCAAATGTGTGTGGTGATTCAGGAGTCAGTGACTTTCCAGGATGTTGCTGTGGACTTCACTGAGAAGGAATGGCCCTTGCTGGATTCTTCTCAGAGAAAATTGTACAAAGATGTGATGTTGGAGAACTATAGCAACCTCGCCTCAGTGGGTAAGACTGGAAATTATTTCTCTGTGTATCAGATGTTTTTGTTCTAAGTACTTGCTGTGACCCAGGGACTATGGGGATTTGGAACTAATTGTGAACAAAGGTGACCTGGTGCCCCCCTCATGGTGTTTCCCAGTGATTGTTGAGACCTGTTCATTGCATTGACCTTGGAGGTTGTCCCGTGTGTCTGAGTTTGGGCATAGGTTTCTGAGTTAAGAGATCCTCATTCTTTTGAAGGGCAAAGCGTGTGGGTCTTTGTGGTTTTGTGTTTTATGAAAGCCTTTCACTGTGTTCCTTAGAAATTTGGCACCATCATTTTGCTGCTCCTAAGTCAGACTTGTCCATCTTCAGAACACTGAAGACCAAAACCTTGACCCCGGCCTAACGGAGGGGGTTGTCCTCTGCACGATCCTCCCTCAACATGTGTCTTTCCCCGTGAGTAGGGTATCAGGTGGGCAAACCCAGCCTCATCTCCCACTTGGAGCAAGAAGAGGAGCTGAGGACAGAGGAGAGGGAACTGCACCAAGCCACATCTCCCGGTGAGCACCAGGCAGACACTACCAGGAAAACATGAGTGCTTCTGGGTACCTGCTTTATTCACTGAGGGGATGAAGGGAGATCCATTAGGGACTTGAAATGTCACCCAGGGAAATTTGAGAATGCTCCTTCTCCATTCTCTCACAGGTCCTTTGCTCTCACTGTCCTCTCCTGTGTTGTATATGTTTATTCCTTCATCTTTTTCAACTGTCTACGTATTCATTTGCCAACTTACTTAGTTTTGAGATGTAACTGACATGATACCATGTTAGTTTCAAGTATACGACATAATGGGGAAAAAAAGTATACCACATAATGGTTCAATATTTGAACCATTATGTGATCACCATGTTAAGTGTGGACTAAGATCCATCACCACAGAGTTACAAACATATTTTTTCCTTGTGATTAGAACATTTAAGATTTACCATCTTAGCAACCTTCAGCGCATTACAAAATTATTTACTATAGTCACCATGCTGTGTGTTACATCCCCACGGCTTATCTCTTTCATAACTGGGAGTTACCTTTTGACCCCCTTCACACCCACATCCACCTACCGCCTCTGACAACCACTACCAATCTGTTCTGGGTATCCATGAGCTCAGTTGTTTTGGGTTTCGAGGAACACTTAGATTGCTTCCATTGCCTTGACTATTGTAAATAATCTGCTGTAAACATGGGAGTGTGGATATCTTTTCAAGGTAGTGTTTTCATTTTCTTGGGATAAATAGCCAGAAGCAGAGTTGCTGGGTGTCATCAAACTTGACATGTCTACATGAGCTCTGTCCCATTCTTTCATATTCAACATTACTGGTCATACTCTTTCTGTTGTTATCACTGTCAGTCTTTGAAGAATTTATCCTTTGGTGAATCAAGTTAAATACAGACATTTTTACTCACATATGTTTCTCCCCTTTGATAACACCTTTTCTTTCTTTAGGGTTAGTATTGCAAAGAAATCTCCCCTGTTTTTGTCACTAGCATCTCGCCATCTTTCTCCAGCTAATATTTCTCTCCTCGGGTTAACATCTTACCAATTTGTTTCAGATTGGGAGACTCCATCTAAAAGCAAATGGTCCATTCTCATGGAAGATATTTTTGGGAAGGAAACATCCAGTGGTATGACAGTGGTAAGACTTCCTTGGGATAATCTCAGAATTCCCATGTTGGGAGGAAACAGGGGCAGCCTCAAAAGCAGCTCAAGAACCAGGCACGAGTGGCCTTCCCCAAGAGGCAGCTGTTTCAGACGTTGAATGTCAGCTTCGGGGGAAAACCCTAAAAACCTAGCCTCAAATTTCTTGACTTAGAGTTGCAACAACCAAATTTTTCTAGAACTGTGCCTTAGATAATGAGTGTTGGGGCTCAATTCAGATTTAAACAGTTAACAAAGTATATATGCAAAAAGCTTTGTGAAAGTTACATCTGTGGAGCCTTAGGGGGTAGCATCCACTCTGTTATTTGATGGAGCCCAAATGGGGTAGAAACAGGACTTTGGCACTGCAAATCATGACCTCATTTGTCATAATGACATGCTTATACATACATCAGTTTTTGTGGGGATGACTAGAGGACTCCTAGGAATGTGGTGAGTTGTGGGAAATGCCTTAGCACTCCTCTCTTAATCAACAGGAAAGAACACGTCTTGGAGAGAAACCCACTGAGTACACTCACCTGTTTGAAGTCTTTAGCATGGGCACTCATCTTACTCAGCAGATAGGAAGGCACGCTGGCAAGAGGCCCTATCACCGCCGGGACTGTGGGACAGCTTTCAAGAACAGGTCACATCTAGCCCAACATGTGAGCATTTACAATGGCAGGAAAATGCATGAATGTCATCAGTGCCAAAAAGCCTTCACCACGAGTGCGTCCCTCACACGGCACAGGAGAATACACACTGGGGAGAAACCCTACGAATGCAGCGCCTGTGGGAAAGCCTTCAATGATCCCTCTGCCCTCAGGAGTCACGCGAGAACTCACCTCACAGAGAAGCCCTTTGACTGCAGTCAGTGTGGAAATGCCTTCCGAACCCTCTCCTCCCTGAAGATACACATGAGAGTTCACACTGGGGAGAGACCTTACAAGTGTGATGAGTGTGGGAAGGCGTATGGCAGGAGCTGCCACCTCATTGCACACAAACGAACGCACACTGGAGAGAGACCCTACGAATGCCACGACTGTGGGAAAGCTTTCCAGCATCCCTCACATCTCAAAGAGCATGTCCGGAATCACACTGGAGAGAAACCGTATGAATGCACACAGTGTGGAAAAGCCTTCCGATGGAAGTCTAACTTCAATTTGCACAAAAAGAACCACATGGTAGAGAAAACATATGAATGTAAAGAATGTGGGAAATCCTTTGGTGATCTCTTATCACGGAGAAAACACATGAGAATTCATATTGTAAAGAAACCCATTGAATGTAGACAGTGTGGGAAAGCATTCCGAAACCAGTCCATCCTTAAGACGCACATGAATTCTCACACTGGAGAGAAGCCCTATGGGTGTGATCTATGTGGGAAAGCCTTCAGCGCGAGCTCAAACCTGACCACACACAGGAAAATACACACTCAAGAGAGACGCTACGAATGTGCTGCCTGTGGGAAAGTGTTTGGGGATTATTTATCCCGGAGAAGGCACATGAGCATTCATCTTGTAAAGAAACGTGTTGAATGTAGGCAGTGTGGGAAAGCCTTCAGAAACCAGTCGACCCTCAAGACACACATGAGAAGTCATACAGGAGAGAAGCCGTATGAGTGTGATCATTGTGGGAAAGCCTTCAGCATAGGCTCAAACCTTAATGTGCATAGGAGGATACACACTGGGGAGAAACCCTACGAATGCCTGGCCTGTGGGAAAGCCTTCAGTGACCATTCATCCCTTCGGAGTCACGTGAAGACTCATCGAGGAGAGAAGCTCTTCGTGTCATCTGTGTGGAAGAGGCTCCAGTGATGCATCTTTAAGAGAAACAAGAGCTCAGACTGGGAGGAAGCCTCCTTGGTGTATGGAAGGCAGGAGCACTTACATGAACTCAACTGTGCACAAACCAGTACATGTAACAGGAGAAATCCAGTTTGTGTAATGGCTGGGAAGGACTTGTTTTTTCACATCACTATGGGGATTTGTGAGAAATGGCTAGGGGCAAAAACACTTGTGGTATGCAGAAACCATCAGTGTACATTCAACTCTTTAAAAGGACAACTCTAGGGAAAGAAACCATAGCTTGGTGTTTAATGTCAAGATGACCTTAGCGCCACCTGGCACCTTCTGGGCATATGAGTAAGCACACTAGAGAGAATCTGTAAATTCACAAACCTTTACTGGTCTCACCCTGTATTCTCCATGAAAGAGATCATACAAAAAAGAAAAACTTATAAAGTAGGAAAGTCTGTAACAGAGGTCAGCAAACAAGCCAACTGTCTATTTTTGTATGGCTTGCAAGTTAAGAATAGTTGTTAAATTTTTAAGAAGAAGAACGTGTGACACACCACATGCAACTCACAATGTCTAAAATAATTAACTTTTTGGCCCTTTACAGAAAAATTTGGCCAACCCCTGGTCTGCAGCAGCAGTTGCTAACCAGGGATGATTTAGCTTCTCTGGAGACATTTTTGGTTGTTAAAACTGGTGGGGGAGATGCTACTGGCACATAATAATGCACAGGAGCCCCTGCAGCAATGAATTATGTGGCCCAAAATGTCAGTATTGCTGAGGTTGAGAACCTTAGCCTAGGACAATCCATCAGTTTTTGTGAGACATCACTCACACTAGGAGAGGTTTCTGTTTCAGACTTGGAAGTATAATCAGTATGATTCTTTCAGGAAATGTTAGAACCCACACTGTACACAGTCCCCATATGGGGAAGATTTTAGCCACAGCCCCCTTTCTTAGGCTTATGAGAATTCATACCCTGATGGAATTTTCTAGTAAACATGAAATTGCATTTGTCAGTCTTTTAATCATGAAAACAGACCCTAGCTCATTACATTATAGTCTCTATTTTTAAGATTATGCTCCCCTAAATAATGCTTAGGCTTCATCACAGAAGGCTTGTATATAGTATTTTTATTATAATTTCATTCCTGATATGTGTATTAATTTCCTTTTGGATAACTTACTTGACCAGTGGACTGTTTAGAATTATGTTACATACTATGTAACGTGGATATTTTTAATATCTGTTTGTTACAAGTGTCTAATTTAAGTGCTTTGGATCAGCGCATGATGTCTTCCATCAGATGGATCCTCTGGGATGTTCTCGGTCTCCTGTCCAGCCAAGAGTGATGTAAACCTCTCATTGCTCTCCCACTGTCTCTTTCATGTCAAGAAAATCCCAAGTTTTTTCAGATTACTAAAGTATGCTGTTTTTAAAAGTCTCTTCAGAGTTTTCTGCAGCTAGTACAGTCTTTGTCTTATGTGTAGCCTGGCTGTTGACAGATAAGCAGATGTCACTGTGTGTGAGCTCTGAGAAGAAAGTACTTGAAAAGGGATTATAACCTAGATTCTTCTACGTGTTTTGTTTTTGCTGTTTGCCCTACTTCACACCTTGCAAGGAGATAAGTACCTAGTGTTAAAAGATCCATCTATGACCATAAGGATGCAAGCCACAGGCTAAAGAGGATCCTGCAGAAAAGGCATAAGGATCCTGGCCTCCCCAGTAGCTTCTTTGTCTACAGTAGCCATGGATTTGTTATTTCCAGACTTCCTATTACATGAGAAAAAAAAAATAAAACATTATTGGCATAAGTGGCTTTGATATTTCATTGTTTATCAATTTAATAATTTTTTGGTTGAGGGAGGGTTCCGCTACTCCTAGGTGGATGCCATCTGGAATACATACACTTAGTCATTAGGTTTTACAACTGCTGTATGTGGATATAATCTTTTGATTGTTGAATATGGGTGGTTTTTACGTCTTTAAGCCATGTTTTAAAATTGTATTTCAAGTCTTTGACTTAAGTATTTATTTTCTTGACTTGAAGTAGTATATTAGTTTTTACAAAGCCCTAAGAAGCAATACTGTCACTCTTTCCCTTTTGCATATGGAGAGTCAGAGGCAAGAAAGTTTAGGTTGCTTGTCTGAGGTCAGCTCACAAGTAGTAGTGCTTGTATTTGAGTCCACACTTATGTCAGGCCTTGTTGTGTCTGCCCCACATCTATAGCAGCAAATTGGAATTTTTGCCTCCATAGCACTTACCTTCTGCTTAGAGTAAGGCATCTGATAAACGAGTAAATATATTTTATATCAAATGGTGGTAAATGCAGTGGAGGAAAAGTTAGGCATAGTAATGGTGAGAGGAAATGCAGGGGTTTAGCAGAGCTGTTGAGTGGGCAAGGAAGACCTGCCTTTAAGGGAGCATTTAAGCAGCGATGTAATATTGTAGTCGGGAAGAGCACCCTAGGCAGTTCAAAGGCAATGGAAAAGAAAACTGCTTGGGACCACCATGCATTAGCAAAGGGTCAGTGTGGCTGGAGTGGAGCAAGCTTGGGAGTCACAGGAGGATGAGTACAGAGCTGGGTCAGGATCCTGATCTTGTGGGTTTACTGGAAGGATTTTCCTTTTATCCTCCATGTGGTAGGAAGTCAGTGAAGGGTTTTGATCAGAGAGGTGGTGACTGTCTGATTTCTGTTTGAATCGCTGGCTTCCAGGTTGACAGGCTAAGGAAGGACAAAGTGCGGACAAGCCTGTTAGAAAGCCTTTGCAGAATTAGAGTGGTAGCCAGATTAGTAGTAGTGGGGGAGGATGAAAAGCACATGGATGAATATAGCCATTAATTTTCGCTTCCACATAGCAATCTTTTTTGTCACCCTGCAGCATACCTTTTCTGTTGCTGATGGACAATTAGTTGTTGACATTTTTCCCAGTTGATGAACAGAGCTGCTTTAAGAATGGTGTACATACTTTGTGGAGCACTGGTGAGTTATTCCAGGAGCGTGAATTGCTGGTGTAAGGTCTGTGCACGTTCAACCTACTTGACAGTATTGAGGCCAAGATCATTTCTGCAGTGGTTGTGTGTGTTAACATTTAAAACAGGTTTTACTGAAACACAAAAATGCTTAATTCACACATGTGCAGCTTAATTATTATGTGAACAAATCCATGTAGTCAACAGGCAAGAAGAAATACCAGCATAGCTAAATCCCTTCTTTGCCTCATGCCTGTGAGAAACCCTCCCCTACTCTGCACAGGTAACCAGGATTTTGACTGACGGCATGGCTTGGGGGTTTGTTTTGTTTTTGTTTTTTTGTCTTTGAACTCTACAGAACCATACAGTACGTATTCTTTTGTGTCTGTCTGAATTTGCCCGTTATTTCTGTGAAATTGATCTTTATTAGAGGATCTCTAGCTATTACGTTTTTTGTGTGTGTTCTCTTCGAATATTCTGCAATTATTTAAGCAGTTTGTATAAATTGACATTTCACTTTTCATTATGGGGGCTATTGTGAATAATGCTGCTATGGACATACTTTAACATTTCTGATAGCGCACAAGTGCATGTATTTCTCTTGGGTGTATATCCTGGACTGAAATTGCTGGGTCATATGGGGTACATATGTTCATTTTTATAGATGATGCCAATTTTCCAAAGTGATTGTGCAAATTTGTTTCCCAACAAGCTATTTTATAGAGTTGGATAAGATACTAAAGTTGCCTGCCTTTTTCTTACCATGATTTACACATTCCATTATGAGCCCTCTGGATGCATGTTTTGCATGTTTTCCATTCTGTGGCTTGTCTCCAATGATTTAATTGGTGTATTTGGTTGAAATGATTTCCTAATTTTAATTTTATGGACAGCACTCTTCTTTTCCTGTGTAAGGAATATTTGGCACTCAGAAGACAAGAAGACATTCTTTAATTTCTTCTACAAGTTGTTTTGGTTTTGGTATTTTTATTTTAGTATATACCTGTAGATATATATTTAGATTTACAATCCCTGTGAAATTGATTTTTCTGTGTATTGTGTAAGCTATTAATCTTAGCTTTATTTTTTCCATATTGACCCAGCATTATTTATACAAGAAGTACATCGTGGCCCTAGGAATTGAGATGTCACCTTTGTCATATATTGAATTCCATATGTATCTGGTCTAATTCTGGGCTTTTATTCTACTGATTTATTTGTTCATGTGCCATGCCACTGTTTAAATTATAAGAAGCTTTATAATTTTCAATCTCTGGAATGTCTCGTTCCCTCTCATGGTTTTTCTTTTTTTAGTGTCTTCCTAGATATTCTTGCTTCATTTTTCTTTTTCTTTTTTTCTTTTTCTTTTCTTTATTTTTATTTTTATTTTTATTTTTTGATATTTTTCTTTTAAGTAATTTCTGTATCCAACGTGGGGCTCAAACTTACAACCCCGAGATCAAGAGTCACATGCTCTACTGACTGAGCCAGCCAGGTGCCCCTGTTTGTGTTTTTTTTTTTTTTTAAGATTTTATTTATTCATGAGAGACACAGGCAGAGGAAGAACCAGGCTTCCTGCAGGAAGCCTGACGTGGGACTTGATCCCAGGTCTCCAGGATCAGGCCCTGAGCTGATGGGGGCACTAAACCACTGAGCCACCCAGGCTGCCCCCCGTTTGTGTTTTATATGCACTTTCCTATTATCTGGTTCAACTCTAAAATTAGCTTATTGGTATTTTTATCGTCATTGCCTTGAATTTGTAAGTTAACTTGAGAACTAACAATTCTATAATATAAAGTCATCAAAGAACAGAGGATGTCTTTCCATTTATTTGTTCAGGTCTATTTTAGTGTTTGTCTGGAATGTTCAAAAGTTTTCCATATACAGGTTTTATACATTCTTGTTGAGTTTTCCCTAAGTATTTAGCCATTTATTATAAATGAGGTTTTTCTCAACCATAATGTCTTCTGTTCACAGTTTTGTACATGAAAGCTACTAATTTTGTAACTTGCTACTTCACTGAATTGTTTTTTGAGCTAGCTCTGTTCCTGGTTTCCTGGGGTTTTCCGGGTATATTGCCATATCACCTGCAAATTGAGATATCTTGTTTACCAGTTCTTACGCTTCTAATTGTTTTTGCTTGTCTGATTGCATTAGCTAATAACCTCTAGTACAG